CATCAACTATTGTACATGCATGCATACATATAATTTAACAATCACAACGTCAAGTAAAATGTATACAAACAAGTTACTTACTCAACCAAAACATAAACCATCAACTATCAAATAATTCCAAATCGGAAAATCGGAACACAATCGGGTTCCAAAGAAAGTGCGAAAATCAGAATTTTGGAGGCTACAGACGCATCAACACGGGCACCCGTGTGCTGCAACACGGCCCGTGTTGAGAGGCCACCAGAACAAGCAAAGAAAATGCCAAGTCAGAGCATCAACACGTGCACCCGTGTGCTGCAACACGGCCCGTGTTGAGAAGCCTGCGTGAAAACTCCACTCTTTTGAGTTTTTCTCATTCTACTACCATGGTTTTCTTTCCCATTTCAATACTCTTAATTTCTACAAGCTAGCACCTAATACACCCACAAACCACACTCCTAATCCAACTTTTCTAAACCATTCTAACAATCAACCAACAAAACCCTATAAATCAACTATCAATTTTACCCCCAAATCCCAAAATATATCATACAAAACCTAACAATATGAGATGGAGAATCAAACCCCTTACCTTGGTGTGGGTTTTCTTGAAACAAGATGATGGAGATGTTGCAACTCCAAACTAGCTTCCTTTCTTCTCTTCTCCTCTTTTCTTTCTTCTTTCTCCTCTTTTCTTTTCTTCCTCTACTACTCTTACTAACTCTCCTTTTCTATTTTATAAAACTATCCTTCTACTACTAACTTTCCTCCCTCTATCTTTCTAAAATTATAATTTGGCCCCAACAATTATTTGATTCAAATTATAATATATAACCCTATTAAACAATATTACACTAAATAATATTTATTCTATATAAACCTAATCATGCCAATTAATCAAACAAAGTCAAATATTACTACACACCAAATTAATATTATTCAAAATAATATTCCGACACAATAAATATTTTTATTTCATATTACCCAATTAATATTTTAATCGATATCAATTGAATATATTTCTCAAAATAGATATAATTTAATAGTTTTGGAAAATAATTAATGAAATAACATTTAGATAAAAACGGCGTGTTACAGTAACACCATTTTCATCAACTTCTATAACCAAAAAACAGAGTCTGCAAGTTGACTTCTCCAGACCATTCCAGCCATCCATAGCTCAAGCTAAGCATTGCATTAACTTCCTGGGAACTTGAGGAAGATAACTTGATCATCACAACTCCTTGAAAGCAGCTCAAACTCATTTCACGATTTCCAGTTTTGAGGTATTTTTTTGAACTTCTATCTCTTCATACAAGCATCATTTGATTCTGATTTGTGAAGATAAAATGTAGATATCATTGCCCTGAAGCTATACATGTCCATAGTTTTCATTTATATTGTTTGAGTTTAGAGAATTTTAGGTTTGAATCTCTGAAAAAAGTTAGGTCAGAATTTGATACTCTTAAAAATTCTTGCTTATCTTTGAGAATTAGTTTAAGTTATTTACATATTCAGAATCGTGGTGAAATTTTAACAAGTTTGATGTTGAAAGTTTTATAAATGAATGAGAAATGAGTGAGTTACATGAACCATGACTGGAGGTTAAAGATGAAGTTCATTTCTGGAACTTGTTTTGTATTATATATTTATTGTTTCAGTTATATTAACAGATGTACAGCCACTCCAGTGGTAAAGGTAGCGCGCGTTTATGGTCAAGGTCATGGGTTCAAGACTCAGCTTAGTATGCTGGACCTTATCATTTTTGCTGAAACTCACCCCATGCCTGCTTGCTACAACACAGGTCCAACCCTTTTTTTATTTTATTTTTATGATTACAAAAATCCCATTGAGCCAGATTCAAAAACTATTTTTTCTAACAAACTACCACATTCCATTTCAAACTCCCCCTGACTTTATTTTTATATTTTATTTTCTCTATTATTTTTATTATTATTATTATTTTTATTAATAAAAAATCCAAAAAATATATTTTTATTTATTATTTGTATTTTATATACTTATATTTTCATTTTCTTTATAAACTAAAAAAAGGACAAAAATATTTTTCTTAAACAAATTTAATTATTTTTCTTAATAAATTAATAATTTGATTTAGGTTTAGTTATTTTCTCTTTTTTAATTAAAATCAACTTAGAATTTAGGTTTTCTTTTAATTAATTAATTTTCATGTTATTTTTATTAAACTAAAAAATCTTTTCTTAAGAAAAACCCTAAAAAATGTTTTCTAATTTAATTTCATTTCTTAATTAATTTAGGTTTAATTTAATTAATAATTTTTTTAGATAATTAGGTTTAAATCCTTTCCTCAAAATCTAAACAAAAATACTTTTCTTTTCCATTTATATCCTTGTATATTATATTTTCATTTTTTGTACATTATTCATTATTCAACATGGTTGTAATAGATAATTGGGTTTAAATTCTTGCCATCCTCATTTGTAAATTTGTATACCCCATCCCCCTAATGATGTAATAGCATAGTAATTTTACTTCTTGCAATTTATCACTTTTATATAAATGCTAGTAATTAGGGTTTGTATGGAAAGATAAAATCAACAAGTAGATAACCCTAATCAAAGATAAACAATGCATGCAAATCAAACACATTATTCACACATGCACCCTTAAGGTTAACTCCACGTGTTGCCTAGAAAATGATCATGTTATGCACGTGGGATATCTTAGCCAAAAAATAATCAAAACTACAAGATCATAGTCCCTCGATGACGCTACAAATGTTGCCTTTCAAATGATCTTAGCCCCTTAAGAGAAATGCTAAGACATCTTACAATATTGCTATCATGACTATACGATGACCCACGCTCGTCCCTTTACATCCAAAAATAAGACTTCTTACCAATCAATGGTAAGATAGCAATATCAAAGGAAAAGAGGAAATGAACAAAAGACTTTTGAGTAGGTAGAAACGTTCTTAGTTGCTTGCTCACTTTCAAAACAAACATCCTTGCTCATTTTTTTTTAAAAAACAAACACCAAACACTTTCAAAAACAAACTTTCAAAACATAAAATATTTTCAAAAGTCCAACACTTTGTATACGTTCTTACGTACGAGAACCATTACAAAGTTTGCCTAAACGAAGGTGCCTTTTCAAAATACTTTCAAAAACCATCACAAAGCACATTTTCAAACAAAAGCAAGTGATCTAGCAAGTAACTAAGAGCCCATAGATAACTATGGAGGATGCTAACACCTTCCCTTTTCATAATCTACCCCCCGAACTCAAGAATTAATCTCAAAGGTCTTTCCTGTTCTTTTCCACCTTTCCTTTTGGATAAAAGAAAAGTCGGTGGCGACTCTTGCTAACCGCAACAATTGCGATAAAATGTAAAACATCCCAAGTCAGTTCTCCCACCGTATTACAGCTACATTTTGTTGAGGTTTACTTAAAACTGGGGTGTCCTATACTAAGTACATCGTTGGAGTGGACGACACATCCCACAAAAGAGGCAGAAACTTGGTCGAATCGATTTTTGGAAAATATGGAAAAATTCACCAAATTGAGCAAGTTTGGAAAGAAAAAAATAGGGAAAAGTCAAAGGAGGAACCAATCGTAGATTTGTGCGATTGAATCTTGATACAATTTAATACATAAGTAATATATATTCAGTAATTACAGCGTAAATGTCTACCATTTATGTTTACGCATTTTTTGGTTTACAACATCTGTTTATGTTTTCTAAGTTTCTGGTTTAGTTTTGGTTCAAGGATGATTTTAGATACGCATATCCGGATAAACTCCATTTTTAATTTAAAAAAAACAGAAAATTTTTTGGATGTGCATATTCGAAAATATATATTTTCGTAAAATAATAGGGTTTATCCCGGATATTCATCTCCAAAAAGTGCCCTGATGACACGATAAGGTTTTTTAAGGTCCAAAGTAATCCAAGCCTTGTATAAATAGGGTGTCTCTCATCCTATTTTTTCTATAAAACACCCGATATCAGAAAATGAATACATATCCTCACCTTGAATTTGTGTATTTCAATAGTGAGATGTCGCCACATCAGTTTAGGGTTTGCGAGGACATAATTCGTGCCGACCTGATATCCAAACTGAATACACTCCTACGATATTCTGAAAATCGACGCGTCGTCAAGCTCGAGTATCATTCACCCTCGTTTGAAAACAACTATAATATGCATTTCACCAACTTCAATCTGAAGACAAATGCAGATTTAAAGGTTATGTAGAGTACTTTTTGCCAATATGAAACAAGGAGTCCAATTGAAATGGATATGAAGATTGCAAGTTCTTGTCGACGATATATGTTACAACGTCCGAAACTATCCGTTTATAACGATGTGTAATATTAGTTTTTTGATTACCAATTATCTATGTAATATTGAGTGTTTTAATTTAATGTGAAGTTGTTATGAATTTCATATTTATCCATATTGCCTCTATTTTAAAATATATGTTTCCGAAACATATAAGACATAAATTTAGAGATGCAACGTTTGAACCAAATTTTAATAAAAATGATTTACAAAATATTTACGATATATTTAAAGACGTATCTGTAAACTATAAGTAAATTTTTTAATTTTTTATCAAAAATTTGTGAGAATGACATAAAAGTGGGGACAAAAATTGCCAAAAAAATATGTTGGAGAAGAAATAATTTCTGAAGTTTCGACGTAACTACTCTATACAAAGGTTTGTTTTAAATATACAATCGCCAATCTTATTTGCCAAAGCCCCAAGTTCTGCTTTTTCCTTTAACCTAGCAGCTTAATTAAAAAACGACGCTGGTTCGTCTCTCTACTGTGATTTTTCATTCTAGCAGACGCGAAACTCTGCAACGGCAGCTACACGCGCCGTCTCGTTCTCGTGACATTGCATCACTGTAGCGGCCAGCGGCCACCACCGCAATTGGCCACGATTAGCTAACTACACCATCAGTTAGTGTTGTTTTCTTAGAATTTTGCTTATGCCTGTACTTTTTCTCGTTCTTCAGATAATTTAGATTCGATGGATTCGAATAATTGGATGCCTAATCAGGGTTCTGAACCCACTCTAGACTCCGTTGATTGGAGAATTCAACTGCATCCTGAATCCCGCCAAAGAATTGTCAACAAAATGTATGAATATTTCTCTTGTTTCTTCGCAATTGTATCATTTGCTCGAAATTTTATTCAATTTACCAGAAATAATAGGCAAATGCATTCATTAATTTCCAGATGAATGTTTTTGTGGCATTGTTTAAACCATCTCTGTCACATTAGTTATCTAAATGTAAAATATTGTTGCAATTCATTTGTAGAATGGACACATTAAAAAAACATCTTCCTGTATCTGGGAATGAGGGATTACTTGAACTTCGGAAGATTGCTCAAAGGTTTGAAGATAAGATTTATGCTGCTGCCACAAGCCAGGTACATTCATCATGAGTATTGTGCAACTTCCACTTTCATTCACGGTTACTCATGCAACTATGTAGTATTGTAGTGTAGCATATACTAGCATCCTACTGTAGCTTACTGTCTATAGCCTATAGAACAAGTGTTCTTACAAACAGTTATTCTCGTTGTAACTAACTAGCTAGTCTTAAGATCTCTCTCTAACTAACTGAATCAAATAAGTTAGAGGGATTTCACCTCTATAAATACAAGTCATCATGTTATCATAACTAGTTTTTTTAATCAATGACAGCTTAGGTTTCCATTATGTTGATGATCAATTATTCAACTTGCTACTTGTGTTCATTCTTTTCAGTCTGATTATCTCCGGAAGATTTCGATGAAAATGCTTACTATGGAGACCAAAACTCAAAGCACCATTGCCAGCAATATGCCATCAAGTGAAGGAGGTCCTAGCAATAATCCGCCCGATCAAGGTAAGCAAGCAGATATTATTAGGGGATTATGTGGTTGTATTTGGGTATGGTACCAAAGTTGGCAAATCCTACTTAATTATATATGTATTTAAATATTGAGAAAGCTAAATAGAAGTTCTGTATTTGCTTGGTATGATATTAGGGTTAATACCCTTTTTCGTCCTGTATGTTAACCTTAGGATTTATTTTGGTCCTTTAACTTTAAAAAAGTTCATACTGGTCCCTTAACTCTTTAAAACGTACCATGTTAGTCCTTTTTGCTTAATTAGCGACAAATTTAGCGACCAATTTCTGAGTTTTTCCATCGCTAATTAGATGAAAAGGACTAAGGTGGTATGATTTGAAGAGTTAAGGGACTAATATGGACTTTTTTTAAGGGACCAAAATGAACCTCGAGGGTAACATAAGGGACCAAAGAGGATATTAAGCCATAATATTGTAAGTGGTTAAAGAATTTGTTTACTGATTTTTGATGATTTTAGTTTTGTATTATAGTATTCTTTCTCATTTATTCTAAATGATCCTCGGAAGGAAATTAATTGATCCGCCTAAACAATTAAGAGGGCCATATCCTTAAAGGATAGGTTAGTGAATAGTTAACGCATATTGCTAATTTTGTTGGGACTATATAGTTATTAGCATCCTATTGATTTGGATCTAATAAATGAAGTTTATTCTATTGGCCCTTCTTGGAATTTTACGTTGGACCTGGCACAACCCTTACTTAACCCTACTTAACCGTAGGGCAGTACTATATCGACCATTTCTAAACACAATTTCAGGCCATATTTCATTCAATGTGGGATTCTTAAGACACCCCCTTATGCCCAAGAGGAATAGACACTTGGAGCGTGACCTTGGTGGTCTAACAATGTTGTGACCCTATAGATCTTGGATAAGCTCTGATGCAATCTTTGATTTTTGGGCGACTACCCACCATTTATATAAACATATTTTTAGACCATATCTCATCAATTGTAGAATCTTAATGGCCATCTTACTATCTTTCTTGTATTGTTTTATTTCCTTCTTTTGAATTTTCAGATTTTTCTTTTCCACGTGTTGTTAAAAATCCAAATGGTGTTTACATGTTAAATATTGTGATAATCCATATTTGTTTTCTTTTCCTTTATCACAGGACTTGTTTTACAGTCTCAAGTTCTTAATCCAGGACAACAACACCCTAATCCTCGTCAACAGCTTCTACCCCAAACCATTCAAAATCATGTTGCACCTCAATCTAACCTGCCATCGGTATCGACTCTATCCCAGACTCCCAGCCAGAATATTAGTCAAAATTCCAACACACAACAACCTGGGCAAAATTCTGCGAGTAATTCTATTGGCCAGAATTCCAATATACAGGGTATGTTTCCTGGTTCTCAGAGACAAATGCAAGGTAGGCAGCAAGTTGTTCCCCCGCAGCAACAGCAACAGCAACAACCCCAGAATCAACAGATTCTTTACCAGCAGCAGCAACAGGTTATGAAGCATAAGCTGTCTCAGATGCAGCAGCAACAACAACAGCAGAACCTTCTGCAACCAAATCAGTTAAATAACTCTCAACAATCTGTTATGCAAACATCATCTGCTATGCAGCCTTCGACGATGCAATCGTCTCTATCCAGTCTTCCACAAAATCAGCAGTCTAACAATGTTCAACAGTCAGCGCAGTCTAGGCTTCAGCAACATTCCCAAATTATTAGGCAGCAACAGCAACAGAATTCTATTGCTCAACAGCAACAGAATTCTATTGCTCAACAGCAACAAACACCAATGTCTCAACAGTCAATCTTGCCTGCTCAGCAACAGCAGCAGTTTGGAGGGCCTCAATCAAATGTAACAAATGGGCAACATGCTCAGATGCTTGGACAACAGAACAATGTTGGTGACACACTTAAGTCCCAGAGGTTGCATCCACAACAGAATAATCTCATGAACCCGCAACAGCGACAACAACAACAGTTAATAAATCAGCAAAACAATCTAACAAATATACATCAACAACAGTCGGGAAATAATGTACCAGGGTTACAGCAACAGCAGTTTGGAACTGATTCTGGCAACCAAGGCATCCAAACAAGCCATCATTCTGCACACATGTTGCAACAACCAAAGGTTTCAATGCAACAACAATTGCAACACAATGGGTCAAAGTTGCTGCCATCTCAGTCGCAGCAGTCCCAGCCACAGGCTTCACAACAGCAATTAATTTCACAGGTTCACAATCAGCCTGCACAGATGCAACAACAAATGGGTTTGCAGCAGCAGCCAAGTTCTTTGCAACGAGATATGCAGCAAAAACTCCAAGCATCAGGGTCTTTACATCAACAGCAAAATGTTCTTGATCAGCAAAAACAGTTATATCAATCCCAAAGAGCTCTTCCTGAAACATCCACAAGTATGTACTTGCATCCATGTATTTTGCCGTGACATTATTTTCCTTGTGATTCAATAGTTCTATTAGCAAATGCAAAGTACTCTGGTAGAACTGGACCAAGCGATAGAGTGAAAATGGGAAGAGACCATAAACAGTGTATCATTCAACAGTACTTTCTCTGATCATGATGATCCAGAGGTAGAAGGCGATGCATGAAAGGAACATTCCTCGCTGGTATTTGAGAGACCTGTACCCTGAATAAACTTAGTTTCTCTAATCTATTCCTTCCTTTCTATCCTATATATTCTCAACTCATAACCATACCTAGATATTACAATAGGTTAAGTGGGGGTGCTATCCCCTGCGCTTGGTTGTTTTTCCTTATGTAGACCCTTTTATTGTTAACCTGTTATCGCACTCCCATGTATTTTCTTAGCATTGTATTTTCATTCGGTTTTTGTTTCATATTTCTTGTAGCTTCTGTAGATTCTACAATACAGACTGCTCAACCAAGTGGGGGTGATTGGCAAGAAGAACTATACCAAAAGGTACTAAGCTATTTTTTAATCACATTTTATAATAGAGTGATTCAAATATTATTGTATGAGGGATTTAAAGGATACTAATGTTGTGATTATTTGACTTTGCCTGTTTCAATCTACAGTTGCAAACCATGAAAGAAAATTACTTGCCAGATCTGAATGAAATATTCCAAAAAATTGCTATGAGATTTCAGCAGGTATGTTCACGATTCTTTGACTTACCAGTTATCAAAGCTGATATTGTTAAATCAGGGTTGATAATTGCTAAGAACAAACGCTTTCAACCACACACTCAAATAATTTGCCACTTAACCTATTTTTTATACCTACTTACCTGCTAACCGGTTCTATATGTTAAATATGAATTCTTTTTTCTGATTATTTTAGTCTGCAACAGACCCACCCAAGCTACTCCATGAGAGCCAACCCTCCCCCATCAGCCTTTAGTATCATTTTCTTTCAACACCTCACTCGAATGTCATCTTCCTTCCAATAGCTAGTTTTAATCTTCTCTCATTTTGATCATAGTTTCTGAGCATCATTTTTTCTTCTCTAAATACTTTCCCTTCTCTCTAGCTTTTCGACTGCCACAAACACTCGTGATACGATTGAAGATCAGATCCGATTCCTCTTCTCTGAGCTTTTTTGATTTTTCGTTGTTCTATGATGTGTTACGCTTGGTTCGATGGTGGGCCCGTCACCATCTCTATCTTATGCAAAATGTTTTCCAACTGTTTCTACTCTATTGTAAACCTCAACTATACACCACTCCTCAAAACCAGATTTCAAAAGCAAACTCCTCAAAACCAGATTTCAAAAGCAAATGATCCAGTGAGAGCAAGGTTTAGCTGTGCTGTTTAGGTGAGGTTGATTTATCGGTGCTGAAGGACGATCAACATCATGGGATACTTGGCAGGCAATGTTGAGGGATGGTGTGCCTGGTTGTTTGAGGGAGAGAAAGTAGATGTGTGTGTTTGAATTTGTAAACCAATTGTGCAGGTTGCCTGTTACACGGTTTAATGAAAAGAATGACGTGACATCTTATTAGAGTGTATGCTTGAAAGTGCGTGTCCGACCGTGTAACATTAGCATTATTCAAGCCAAATTTCCATTTCAATTTTACGGTTGGTAAACACTAGAATATGCAGAACTCCTTTCTGAAATAAAATGCTTTATTCCTATGTGGTTGCCAATAATTTATCGGTGTTGTAGGAACATAAATAAAAATTATTAGATGATGAAGCAGAAACTTTTAATAAATCTTTGTTACCTAAAAACATTCACAACTTACTATTTCAATATGCCACAGGATTTATTATAAAAATGATACTGTAACTGAAGGGTATTAAATTCTTCTCAATCATAACAAGTTCACCTTTCCTTAAAAGCCATTATTATTGACATGTCTACTTTTCCTCTGTTTAATCCAATTTCCATTTTTTATTTATCAGTATGACTCTAATCCTCAACAGCCAAAGGCAGATCAGATGGACAAGTTAAGGCAATATAGAATGATGTTGGAACGCATGATAACATTCCTACAGATTCCTAAAAACCTCATTACGCCTAGTATCAAGGAAAAATTGGGAGCATATGAAAAACAGATTGTAAGTCTCATAAATTCATTTAGGCCCAGGAAACCGTTGCAACCAGGGCAGCTCCCCCCAACTCATATGACTTCAATGCCACAGTCACAATCTCAAGTTACTTCAGTACAGTCTCATGAAAATCAAATGATCTCTCAGATGCAGCCATCAAACTTACAAGGTTCTGCAGCAACTATACAGCAGAACAATGCTGCAAGCTTGCAGCATAATTCTATGTCTGGTTTGTCAACAACACAACAAAATATGTTGAATACAATTCAACCAAGTAATAATGCAGACGCTGGGCAAGGAAATTCTGCGAACTCTCTGCCACAGGTTCCCTTGAGCTCCCTTCAACAAAACAATGTTAGTACTCCTCAACAGACCAACATCAATTCATTATCATCACAAGGTGGGGTGAATGTGATCCAATCCAATCTAAATACCCATCAGTCAGGTTCCACTATGCTTCAGCCCCAACTGAAACATCAGGAACATCAGATGCTGCAGAATCAGCAGTACAAACAACAATATCAGCAGCAAGGACAATTGATGCAAAGGCAGCAGATCCTACTGCAGCGACAGCAGCTACACCAGCCAGGGAAGCAACAGCTGTCAGTACAGTCTCAGATTAACCAAATGAACGATATAAATGATATGAAAATGCGACAAGGAATAGGTGCTAAGCCAGGGGTATATCAGCAACATATTGCCTCAGGTCAAAACTCAGCCTATTCCCATCAACAGTCTAAACAAGGGAGTCCGTTTCAGGTTTCTTCACCCCAACTCTTTCAGGCTGCGTCTCCTCAAATTCCACAACACTCATCTCCCCAAGTTGACCAACAAACTCAACAACAGTCTCTAGCAAAAGTTGTAACTCCTCTGCAATCTTCTAATTCACCTTTCGGAGTCCCTACTCCTTCACCTCCCATGGCTCCATCTCCCATGCTAGTAGATTCTGAGAAGTTCGTTCCTGGTGTTTCATCATCAAGTGCTGCCAACATTGGACAACATATAGGGGGTGCAGCAGCACCAGCTCAATCCCTTGCCATTGGGACTCCGGGAATATCAGCCTCTCCTTTATTAGCAGAATTCAGTGGTCCAGATTGTGCATATTTTAATGCTTTTGCAGCTACTTCTGGCAAGTCAACTGCAGAGCAACCTATTGATCGTCTAATAAGAGCGGTTAGTATAGTAAGCCTTTCATATGCTACATATTGTTTATGACTGCATTCATCAAATATATATATATATATATATATATATATATATATATATATATATATATATATATATATATATATATATATATATATATATATATATATATATATATATATATATATATATATATATATATATATATATATATATATATATATATATATATATATATATATATATATAACAATTTCTTAAACAAGAATACAAGATATGTAAGTCTTTCACTTTCATTCTTCCATCTCCTACCGAAAAACAAAAAATGTTGCAATAAACCACCAAAACCGTTCCCGACTTTGTAAGCCGCTCAAAATAAATCCTTGAGATTATGGATATTTTAAAAAGATCTCCAACTCTATCAATGTAAGTGACTGAGTTGATAGTAAGTGGTTAAATAGTTAGACCAAATTGATACTATGTGGTTAAAATAGAGACCTAATTGATAGTAAGTGGGCAAATATAGAGATCAACTTGACACGTTAATCTGTCAAAAAAAAAACTATACACTTTAATAAATTCAGGGACCTTTTTGAAGTATTCATAATCTTAGGGACTGATTTGAGAGCGTCCTACAAACTCGGACTAATTTGGTGGTTTACTCAATACGTTTAAAAGCTTTTACTGTTCTATCTGTTTTAGGAGATAATTTGGACAGGTGTTCATTACTATATATGAATAATTTATGTCCAAATGATGATTCCAGGTGCAATCAATGTCAACTGAAACATTAACTGCTGCTGTCAATGATATCAGTTCAGTTGTCAGCATGAGTGATAGGATAGCAGGATCCGCTCCAGGTAATGGATCAAGAGCCGCTGTTGGCGAGGATTTGGTTTCCATGACTAATTGTCGTCTTCAGGCTAGAAATTTTATCACTCAAGATGGTACTAATGGAATCAGGAAGATAAAGCGCTATACCACTGCTAGACCGTTGAATATTAAGTCATCTGCTGTGAGCAAGAATGACAGTATAATGCAGTTATCTGCTTCAGAGGCTTCTCAGCAGGAGTCAACTGCAACAACCAATTTCAAGAAACCAAAGGCTGAGGTTACTAAATTTTATGTTTTGAACTGTTACATTTTATTTTATACTTAATATAACAATATCTTTACTGTCTGTGATTTTTGTTCATTGGCCGGATATCGTCAATTATATGGTTTGAATAGATGCATTCACTCTTTCTGGATACTTATTAAAACATACTTAGTTAGAGTGTGATGATTTTAATACACTTGTATCATTGCTATCAAACTAATATATAGTTATGCACTTTGTCTTATGTTAGTCCTTAATAAGATATCAGATGTTTTGATGATTTTTTGGGCTCTGATATGGGACTTTATATGAATTGAGTGGCAGGCTACTCATGCCCTTTTGGAAGAAATACAGCAAATTAATCGCAGACTTATTGACACAGTAGTAGAAATAAGTGACAGAGATGTTGATCCAACTGCAGCTGCCATTGCTGCTGCTGAAGGGACAGAAGGGACCGTTGTCAAATGTTCTTTCATTCCTGTGGCTCTCAGCCCATCTTTAAAATCTCATTATGCTTCACTACAGGTGTGGACTCTCAGATTTAGCAATTAAAACAAATTTTAAACCTTTTAAATTTTAATTTGTTTTATTAGTCTCATGTGATTTATTTCACTTTACAGTACCCTATTCAGCCTCTGCGCTTACTGGTTCCTTCAAATTATCCTAATTCTTCTCCCATATTCCTAGACAGGTTTTCAGTTGAATCACGGTGAGATATGAAATATTTTAGCCCCTTCATGCTTTAACTTGCTAATTTTGGATCTGAAATGTTTTGGATTTCTCTTCCAAATATTGGCAATCTACACAATTAATGTATCACTTTTCAACCTTATCTTAAATATGCTGAGAAATGTTTCTAATACCAAGTGTTATTCTTCATATTATTACGACAGTAACGGGAACGAAGATCTTTCAGAGAAAGCGAAATCAAAGTTTAGCATGTCCTTACGTAATTTTTCTCAACCAATGTCTCTGAAAGATATAGTGAAGACTTGGGATGTTTCTGCTCGTGGTGTTGTTTCTGAATATGCACAACAATTTGGTGGAGGAACATTCAGCTCAAAGTATGGATCATGGAAAGATATCTTGACCGCATAATATTATTGCCCTTCTAATGCAGACCCAACATTGTTTAGGCCTAGGAGGTTTTGAACATTATGTTTTATCTTTAAAACACTTATTTTATTGCATGTACATAACAAATCCTCTCCATTTCTTAAATGAAATAGCAGCGGAATTATTTATAAAAAAATTCTTTATTATTATTTCTATAGATTTTGTGTCTGTCAAATTCATTCATTTATGGAGTAATGGATAGGATTCAAATTCATAAAAGTCTAGTTATTAAGTAGCATAACATGGAAAGTGGTTATGGTTGGCATATTTTTGATAAATTGTAAAGCTCTATTAGATAAATTTATAAGTTTTAAACCTATTGATATTGCCATGTGAAGAAAAAAAGTAACTTCAGGTAGTACTAAATGCTAGACTGATAATTACAAGAAAGGACATAAATGGGGTCCTTGGTGTTCAATTTTTCTGAACAAGTTGCCCAAGTGCTATAAATACTCACAAATCTGAATCTATGGTCACCACTTTGCAATAAATAAATAGACATCACTGTCCGTTGTTGTCACATGTGTGGGGCAGTTTCGTCCTTTGATAGTAATTTTAAAAATTTAATTGATTGCAAAAATTTAAATATAGAACTAGAATGTGAAGGCAATTTAACTATAAATATACTTTTGTCAATGTGTATTGTCAAAATAACCATAACATATTACAAATTTGGACTTCAAATTTGCTATAAAGAACAAAACAATAATCACCTATCTTAATCATTCTCTCCCCACAATTACGCTAATCTAATCCAAATTTCACCTATTCAAACCTAAAAGTCACAAAACATTCAAAAGCAAAAGTAGTCAAACATCATTACTCATACAGACAAGTGCTAAAGTTACCCATCCACATGATTCACACCACTAATGAATAAACAAAAATAATAAATTAAAATCACATTCAAAATGGTGGAAGAACCCTAAAAAATCCATCTCTCACCAAGTATTATATCCATGTCTGAAAATGCGTTAACCTCGCATTATCAGACACGTTATAATAGAAGCTCCAAGTTAGATCAGATGTAACTTAGAGTTTCTGATCTCCGTTAATTAACTATGACTATTTGTCATAGTTTTAAACACCCGATTAAAATTTGAGGTTGAAATAATAAACCCTATAAAAAATTAAAAAAAAAAATTTAATTTGGCTTTAGATCTTGAAACATAGTATCCCACCTGATATCTTCAACAGCAGCAGACCAATAACCATTATTATCATCATCTTCTCCTTTCATCTTTCCTTCATGAAAATGGTAAACCATAGGAGTACTAGAAAAACTATCAAGAGCAAAACCAGGCATCACTGTAGGACTAGGACTACCATTTGTAAGCAATAGCCTCTCTTGTTTCTCCACTTTCATCTTCTTACTACTCCTCTTCAAAGAACTACTCTTCCATGATGATCTTGTTCCATAATAAGCACTATTACTAGGTCTTGATGTTGGTACAACTACAAGTGCTGAATTTGGTTCCTCACATGTAACCAATTTTCTCATGATGTAGTCCTCTAAGCACTTTTTTGTCTTTTTGATTGCTACCATGATCTTTGCAACTGGTCTTGGTGGTTGTCTCTTTGACTTTTCTTTTCTTGCATGTTTGAGAATTTCTAGCCTATGTTTGGCTATGGAGATTCCCATGCTTTGGAGAAACTCATGGTTGAAGTAAACCATGTCTTCTTGTTCTAGCTCATTGTGTGAAAAGGTTAGGCCATACTCATATACAAGAGATGGATCAAGATTTGTTTTTGAAAGCCATGAGAACCAATCCATGGTTTCTAATTTGAAAAGGATGAGTGTGTTGTGTTGTGTGTGTGGTATGGTATGTATAGTTTATAACTTCAAGAGGAATATGTATATATAAAAGGTGAAAGAGAGGTTTAGGGTTGGTAAAGAGAAACAAAAAATAAACTACTTAAAAACTAGTGATATAGACTTTGTGGGACCCAAATTCAAGATATTATATTATTCATAAATAAAATTTTATTTTTAATTCTTTTATATTATATTCTTAAGACACAAGTTAGTGAAATTGTTTTTATTTTAAATACATTTTATTATTTTATTTTTAAATTTTAATCATCAAATTTAAAATCAAAATTGTTCGATGTTAAACGGGTGGTTTTTCTTTTTTTGATAAGCGTTAAACGAGTGGTTTTGATGTAGATTGCTTAATGACGAAGTCACAAGATATTAGTACTAAACAATAAATCTAAATGCAATCCTATTACAAGCCAATTGATCTTTATTAAACTTAACAAATGAGATTTATGAGTCCATGTCGAAACAAGACTTTTTACAATCGATTTTTTCATGCAGTCATTTTGTTGAAGTATTTATGATTGTCTGATTTCAATGTAATGGTTCAAAATAATGCATGATTAATATTTATTGTATAATTCAAAATAATAAGATTAAATCAAAATCATCAGATCTAAATCGAACGACTTATAATTTTTGAGAGTGTGACCACATCGATTTTTCACTTGAAATCATGATCCCTCCATGTGTACAAATAAATGAGATCTATGACTCGATGTGTAGAAATAATACAAATCCAATTTTATGAGGTAGGTAATTGACTATTCATGCTTTTGAAAAATTAGTTATTAGTTGAACCTTGAGAGTGACTAAAGAAAAAGAAAGCAAAGGGATGTGTGTGGGGTATGTAACCCATGTTATTGTTCCCTCCAAAACTAGTCATATGGTATGTTATGATCAAACTTTGAGGAGTGTGAGTGAGACCTACGAATTCCATGTGAAAATGTGATCTCCCACTCCCTACCATCAATCACGGTTATGGAAAAGTGCTTATTGGTGGGACTACCCACTACTTTTTTTTGGTGCAAGTAAGTTGAGAGTAGATGTAGAAAAATGTAAGAGTTAAAACTTAGAATATGGCAACAACACATTGAGACATTGATGTGACTTTGTTTAAAAACTTAGAATATCTACATATAAATTTCACATGATATATCTTCCATAACTTGTCTTAACATGTCACTTTGTTTTGGTACTTGATTTGCTTTGTTGTTGCACTTTCCTTGAGCTTTAGAGTACAATTTACTCAACTTATTACTCATTGAGTCCTATTTGCACCAAATAATAAAGATGGAGAAAAAGAAGATAATGAAGGAAAAATAATTATTTTGATAGATTAAGGAAGTACTAACTATAATGAATTCATTAATTAATCTTTACCCAAACTATCATTTAGAGGAAAAACCATATGCTACGATGACATTCTTTATTAAGTTTATGATTTAAAATTATAAAATTGTAACTTCTATTATAAATAAGATGACTATTTAACTGATGTGGATTATATATACAATTATAATTTTTTTCTTATTTTTATTAAATAAATATTCAATATTAGTATATTAATCATGAAAATAAAGATGAACAATAATTTTTAATATTAAGAGATGCGTCTTTGATGAAGTTTTATGCATTTTCTATAAATAAATTTTAAAAGTCATTCATTGAGAGCGAAAGGTAGATTCTAAAATGATAAAAATTAATTTTAAATAAATTGATCAAAAAAATTGGTTTAAATTAATAAAGCTATATGTGACAAGACACCTTTTAAGTTTATAATTTATAATTTATAATATATAAATTTATATGATAATAAAAATTTATTTGATAAATTAATAATTTTTTTATCACGAATTTATAATTTATTTTATTAATATATAATTTATTTTTAGACGCTATTTTAAATAGTATTTTAATTTATAGTTTATTATTTTTATCTTTCACTTTTGTTCTTATTATTTTAATTAAAATACACTACTATTTTTTATAATTTATTTTAATTTAAAATAAAATAATTAAATATTAAATATTTTTATGTCATTTTAATTTATTAATTAATTAAATTGTTACTTTTATCAAACAATTTAATTAATTTATTAACTATAAATCATTAATTATCAACTATAAATTATTGATGGTTTCTATAAAAATATTACAACATTCTCCGTACTGTTGACATTTATTGGTAGCTTTATTTTCTTGTATATTTTTGTTGACACAGATATTTACATAAATTTTTTATATTTTTAAACTTAAAAGATGTAAAATCCACAAGCATTCTCCGTTCCACCCTCATTTTTTTGTAAGACGGGTTAAAATTTTAGACCCGACCTTTAACAATGTCTTCCCTACTCCCTCCTGTTTTTTCATGGAGTTTTGTGAGACAAGCCTAAGCATTCAAACATACTCTTTTATCATCCCTAATAAAAAGTACTTTATGTTTGCATAAATTTTTGCAAAAATAAGTTGACAATATATTAAAATATAAGAATCACATTTATATTTAAAAGTTACAAATATTAATTTTAAATAGAATTAATTCTGAAATGTGTAATCAATTTTATGCTAGAGCAATCAAACATATCAAAATTAAACCTACACATTTAAAATCAATTATGAGTACTAAAAACCTGAAATCAAACATTCACTTGTGTAAAAATCACGTTTGAGCAATGATAATTTTAAATTAAAATCAAATCTATCGGAGAACAATTGAAAATGTCAAAAATAATTTTAAAGGTGTAAAATTGATTGTAGAGTGATTTAAGGTGTTTGAATCTTTTAAAATAGAATTGACTTTGCCGTTGAAATTGATTTTATTTGAAGTTATAATTTATAACTTCTAATTTTAAACGTGATTTTTACATTGAAATTTACCGTTCTACTCATTTTTAAATAAATGTATTCAAATATATATAAGTTCTGCATAAATTTAGTTGAAATCAATTTTATTAAACTCAATTTTATCAAAACCAATTATGTCAATTTAGATCAAATTTTCAAATAAATTATGTCAATTTAAACCATCTAGATCAATTTTTGAAATATTTCAAACGTGGAAGTATTTAATGATTGAAAATGCATGCACATGGATTAATTATTTAATGAAGGCTTAGATTTCACAACACTCCATTAGGTTGTTGAACTTGCTGTTTATGAAAGTAATCAGTTTTTCCGCTTTACATCTATCTGGTGGTTTAGACGACAAACCAATATACAATGTTATGAGAGTAGTATAGTACTCTCCCAATACTGTATAAACAAATAAGCATAGTATAAGAGTACACTCCAACCCTATACCAAAAACAACTACCAAAGGAAATGAAGTTTTTGTTCCTCTACCTTGAGACAAATTAATGAATAAGTTCCTTATATGTGATTTTGGAAAAGCGTGTTCATTATTTGTGGACATGATAATTGAGTTTAGGTGTTTCAACAAGAGTTCATCATCACCTTTGTAAACATATTTCACTATAACATCACTACCACCACACCCATTTATTCTCTACACGGGTGAAATAATATATGGCTTCAAAATATAATTGGCTTGAATAGAGCTAAGGAGGAATGAAACTAAATTCATATTCAAATTTTTATTGTTAACATCCATAATATCACAAATTCAAAGACTCATATGAGATATAATTTCGTGCTAGCATGACTCGATCTTTAGTCCAAACATCAAGATACACTCATATAATACTTAGTTCGAAATATTTTTCTTTAAAATTAGATTTGTGTGACTTTAGATAGGGAAACATATGATGTCTTTCCCTATCTCTTTAATATTCCTCTCTCATAAAAAATATGGAGTCTTTTTCTAAAGACACACAATTCCAACCCTTTTTTTTAAACCTCTTTCTAAAATAATAAGGGCTTATTCTCTCTTTATTAACCACAAGATAAGATCATTTTTCATTATTTTAAACTAATTTTCACTATGTATATGTTTGATAAAAAAAAACTGTTAGTTTTAAAATCCGAATGCACCACAACACAACAAAATAATAAATCTCTTTATCACAAATACACCCCATTCAAATTTAAAAATAGAATCAACGTTTTAAAAATTGTATCGGTCATTAAACTGACGAGGATAACGGGTCACTGGTTCATTGATCGAATCACTGAGTTACTGGTCGAATCGTGTGACTAAACTAGATTAAATAGGATAACTCAGTTGAATAAATCGATTTCTATAACAACACTATATATTTATTAAATCGGTCGAATCAGATGATTCTGTCTCTAAAAAATATTACAACACCTACAAAATTTTAAAATTTTAAAATATCATAATTTCACATGTTCATTCTTTTAATTCAAATTCTAAATATAATCGTCACACACAACAAAATAATACAAAATACAAATCTAAATAAATTTTGAACCATGTCTAGTTACAAATAGCGAAAAATTGTTCCAAATAAGTTTTGAATAAAATCTAATTGAATTTTAATTTTGAATTTTTTTTTTAAATTATCAAAATGGCGTCGTTTTGTCCAGAAAAAAAGCATGTATTTAACCCGCCGGTTAGCCGGTTTCCACTAGTTCAATAACATATCTGGTCAAACAATCAGACCAGACCGTTGACCCATCGGTTACCAGTCCGACCGTTCTGACTGGTCACTTCGATCCAATTTTTAAAACACTGAATATAATTGATTTTGAAATCCAAATACACCTTTAGAATTTTGGAATCTGGAAATTACAGGTGGGAAAACGAATGTAATATTACCTTGCATGAGTAGTACTCTTCATGATCATAACATTAAAAACCTTAAATCCTTCCAAAATTTCTTTGCATTCTTAATCAATATTTTCACTTGCAAACAACATTCAATTGTATTTCGACATCAAAAGACACAAAATCATTTAGAATTGTAGGTAATGTATAATTTATATAATTAATCATCATCATCATCATATATATATATATATATATATATATA